CATGCTAATTAAGCTCGGATTCCTGAATGTTTGGGTTGGAGAAGATCCCAGTATTTCAGAAGCAGCTGCATGGGGTTGCTTTCCTGAGCTTCTGCTCAGCTAGCACCCTGGTACTTTTGGGCTACTCTGGACTCCCCTTTTCTGTCCTCTGGCCAGAAACTGTCCACTTCTGCAGTTGCACCACAATGAAAGAAGGATAGAGAGAGAACAAAATATCAATGGAGCCACAGCTAACCGAAGAGAGGATGGTTCCTTTTCTCCACATTTTTGATTCCTGCCGTTTTCCAAGCCAGGTGCTTCTGCTGCTGCTGCCTGCATCGCAGGATTGCCTGCTGGCTGGGGTGGGAGAAAATGAAAAAGGAAAGAGAGAAAAATCCTGGGGATTTCTCCCACTCCCTCTGGGCTTTAGTTCTTCTTTTCTTTGAGCCTGAACTAGAGGGTTCTGAGGATTTCCGTGTGTGTATGCTGCAGTGCTAACTAGGTTCGTGGGTTTGCACTGTGTCGAGTCCAAGCCAGGATAGAAGGGGAAAAAATGGTAAACTCACCATGTGCTCAGTGGTACTTTAAATTCTGTATTCTTCCCCGATCCACCTGCTAATATTTACTTTTTACAGACCTCAGATAGCTCCAGCGTACATTCCGTGCAGGTTTATAGTTGTATTCAGTGGAGGAGTGAGGTTGGTGTTGTGCTCACGCAATCGTACGAGGATCCAGAACTTATGAAGCCGGGCTTTGTACCTTCTGTCAGTCAGTCATCAGCCTTAGTGGTCCGGTGCCTCCTTTAGGAGGTGAGCTGCTCCCCAGGCATTTCTTGATTAAGGAGTGTTCAGTCAACTGAAGGCCGTTCCCCAGGGAAGAGCATTCCCCAGAGAAGAGGCTGCCGAGAGGAATTAGAGGAATTAGCAGCCGGGCGAGAGATCCAGGGAGGGCACAGACCACACCGACTGCATTGTTTCCTTACCTGACTTTTGACTTCCAGCTTTTGAGCATCTTTTTGTAAGTTACACATGCCTGCCTTGCTTTTTTTGGTATCTGTGAACTGCACTGCTTCATCGTATGGCTGTGCTGTAAGTTATTTAAGCATTTTCATATTAGATATTTTCCTTCTTTCTTTCCTCCTCCTCCTTCTTTCCTTCCCTTTTCCCTGTTCCCCTTCCCTCTTCTCCCCTCTCTTTTCTTTTTTAAACAAATAAATAAACAAACATATTTTATTGGGCCCAAGGTAGTATACATTTAAAATTTTGGTAGATATTGCCAAATTGTTCTCCAAATACTGTGTCAGTGTGTACACATCTACTAAGAGTCTAGATGCCTGTTTCTGCATTGCCTCCAAAGAAACATATTTAGACATTGAAACTCTTAAGTACACACATGAAACATATTTAGCTTTCTAAAAATTGCCAAGCAACACAGTGACAAATTAAAACTTTGCGGGGGAGGGGGGGGCGGAGTACACCTTAAAAATGTATTTTTATTTTCCAATTTACTTCTGATCTTTATTCACATACATATATGATGGTTAAATAATTATTACTGAAGTATGAGCACCATTTGTTTATATTTTGTTGACTTTACCTATGGTTTGGTATATTGCTTATATTTCATAATTTGTTTTTAAAAGAACTGATTATGGTTAGCTTTTTGCTATAGCTCTGAATTTTGAGGATTTTTCTATGCTATGAACAATTTTCTAAACTTTTAAGAAAATGGTTACATGAATATGATTTCCTAAAGCAATCAAAACATTTGAAACATTGTTTCTGAAGCTTTCGTATCAAATCCTTGTAGTGGAGCATATTTTAATTATCTTTCTTATACTAGAGTCAAATCTTACTTGGAAGTTAGTTTCTGAAATCATCGAGTGTGGGGGAAATCTGAGGTAGATGAAAATTCCTTTTGAAATTTCCTGAGCACCAATACCGTGGTGGAGACCACCTGATACAGCAGTTCTTCTAAGTCAGCACAGCCAGTTTTGTCTTCGTGTTGGAACTGGAGACTTTTTGTTTAGTTGGACTATGTTTTTGAAAAAAAAAAAAAGAAGAAAAGAAAGAAAGGGGGTGCTTGCTTTGTCAGAGGCCAGAGAGAACCAAGGCCACAGGGAGCTGCAGATTCACCTTCCTTGTCCCACTGTCCTGGAACAGGTGATCTTGGTGTGGAATTGCCCATCATTTAAATCATAATTCATCCTTCCCTCCCTCCCTCCCTCCCTCCTTTTCTCTCTCCTTCCTCCCCCTCCCCCCCAGTAGCTGAACTTGTATTAGTCAATTGTAAGTACACTACATACAACTCCACTGTAAATTTTTTTAAAAATTTGGTAGTTTAAATAACAATAATACAAAATTAAAACCCAATTTATAAGACGTATTTCTTAAAAGGTTTATTTGTGCATTACTGGCTCATCAATGTGTTGATCACTTTATTTGGTATCTCAGATTGCTCTGATATATGTTTTTATGTGTTGTTTGATCCAAGTTTTTAATATTTGTCTACGTGACTTGAAGATACCATCATTTTGTCAGCTTAGATCATTAAATTTCTGAAATATTATTTACTTTGTGCTTTATTAGTTTCCAAAAGCCCAAGGACTTTCTTAAAAGAAAATATATTACAGTAAATAAAGTCTGTCATGGTATCATTAATTACAAATGAGAGTCTCTCCACTAGATGCGCCAACTACCTGTGTCGTCGTAGTAATAATAATAATAATAATAGTTGTAATCATAAGAATAGCAGGTATTATTGGTCCTATGTTTACCTTAGACCAAGCAGTATCTAAATGAATTACTGCATTTACTCTCACTACATGAAGATGGGGTGCTTTGTCTCTTTTATTCACTGCAGTATTTCCAGTACATCAGATGTACCTACCCCATAGGAGCTACTCTATAAATATTTGTCAAATAATGGTTAGTGAAGTATATATAATTTTTATGCCATTACAGCAATGAGGAATGACTATGAGGGTAATTCAAAGATAGAATTCCAGTAATGGCACTGGAACTCAAGCCCATGTGGGATGATCGTTGTCATTTTGGCAGTGGGGACATGCTGATCTAATTGCAGCCAGACATGTGTAGTAATGCAATATTAATTACTGTTGCTTTAGGTTGTGTTGGCATCCTTTTTCTCAAAGGACCAGATAGTAACTATTTTAGACTTCACAGGCCAGATGCTGTCTGTCACAGCTATCCAACTCTGCCACTGTAGCATATAGCATTTGTAAATGATACATAAATGAATAAGCATGGCTGTGTTCAGTAAAACTTTATTTGCAAAAACAGGTGGCAGATGGGATCTGGCATAGGATAGTATAGTTTCTCTAATTTGTTCACCCTGCTTTAGGTAGTCTCTTGTTCCCAGTGCCACACTAATCACTTGTGCAGATGTGTACCCTGAAACGTCATGGGAGTATTTGTAGTTTGGTAGTCATCCAGATGACCCAAAGTATGTTTATATTACTTAAAAAAAATTAATCTGCACATAAAGACAAAATTAAGGACATTGTTATGAAGAATTTAGGGATCTCCAGGAATTCTTAGGCCCAATTTGAGAAAATGGAGTGTAAAGAAATAGCAAAAGTGGGGAAAAAAGATATTAATTAGATATAAAGGAGATTTATGATGTTCTCTGTCTTAATCTGTGTTTAGCATTAAAATCTGTGTTACTTGGTGAGAGACCAGCACTGGTGAAGAAGGAGCAAGTTTTCGAATATTTTCTATGTTGTTATAGGCAACTGTACTAACTTCTGTTTTTCTCTAGGACCTACATTTTATTAGTTTTTACTGTTGCCAGTTGCTTTTTATTTGGCTTTCTTTCTGTTTAAAAACTTTCCTCTTGGGGGCACATTGTTAAGTAACCATCATGAGTGTTGAAGACTATTTGGTAACATTTCAATGATCTAGGAAAGGACGAGTCTTAATTATCAAAATAGTAATTGTAGAATATTAAGGAATATATTTAAATTTTCTTTAGAATATATTTGTAACTAAACTTTGGCCAGTTACCTTGATATATTTGTAAGTAAACTTCGGCCAGTTACCTTGCTTTAATGGGTATGTAATTTGTGTAGTCATCATTTAATTTGTGATTCTAATATAATTGAGAATGATTTATAACAATCTAGTCTGCTTTGGGAAATTATTTGGCTTAAGCTATCTGTCCAGATATTTTATTTTCTTCACAGAATAAGGCAAAGTTTAGCTGAAAGTGTCACAAATTTTGCATCAATAGTGTCCATGCAAGGAAACGGGCTATTTGTGTTCTAGCTGTTCAGGCCTAGGCCACTTCTGAGTTGTGTGCCCTTGAGCAAGTTGGTGTTCTTTTCTAGGCATCAGTTTCCTCATCTATAAAATGGGGATAACAGTAATACCATCACCTAGGGGTGTCGTGAGGATTAAATGAAATAATGCACAGAAGGAGATTTAATAGAGGAACTGGCGTAACCTAAGTCTGTCAGTGTAAGCTACTATTACCACATGATGGAAGTTACATTTAGGAGTTCTCTGGGTGTGGAGATGAATCTCTCTTTTTTTGTTGTTTAACATTGTTTAAAATAAAAATAAAGTATCTCATTTGTTTTTTATGTATAAGCTAACTATTGTATTTTTATGGTAGCCTTTTATTACAATTCTTTTCTAAATTCTATTTAGTAACGTGTTTATCTACGGAAAACAGGAGGGATGTGGGGAACTGTCTCAACTAATCTAGGACTCTGCAGGGAAAATAAAGTTAGAAATAAGACATAGCTTCATATTTCAGCACAGGAATCAACTGTATGAGCTCATTTAAGTACCAGCTTAATATATGAGAAGCTGTTGAATACAGGGACGATGGTTTATTATTTTCTGCATCAGGCTTCCACTTTATTTTTACTGATACTCTCTTGGTATGTGCATTTACAACTTGGTTTCCTGTACCTCTCTTTTCACAATAGAATGATAAGCAGTTGGTTGAATCGTCAGGTTATACAGTGGTTTATCGTGTCTTTCTTTGTGTCTAGGATGATTGAGGAAAGTGGGAACAAGCGGAAGACCATGGCAGAGAAGAGGCAGCTGTTCATAGAAATGCGTGAGTCTTGAGTGCTTCTGGCGTCTTGTTTATATGTGTGGTAATGCTTTTTTATTTTTTTTTCTGATCAAGTCACAGCTTTAATCAGAAGTTTTATGTTACAGGCTTTAGAAAGAGAAGAATGGAAGTTAAAGAATCGTAAAGTTGGAAGACCCCAAGCCAGAGTATATATTTTAATTAGATTGGCTTGAATTGCTTTCTTAAGCAAAGTCATAAATAGTAAGGCAGAAATGTTAGTTAGGACATCTGTAAGATCGAGGTGTGCCAGTCAATTTAGACTTCTTGGCTGTAACTTCATTGTTACATGAGCTGCGGATGGTGAGAAATAATTAATACATCATATAAATTACCTTACACTAGTTACAGGTTCTGAAGTAGAGAGGACTAAGTGTTAGGACAACATTTAGAGCTATAGGAAAAATTAAAAGCACGAATTTGCTGTATTACTTTACCATTTTATGCCTTTTGTTAAAAATTACATTATTATATAAAACTCGAACAAAGAAAAAAAGGTGGCTGAGAGGAGTGGGGCAGTTCCCAGTATTTGAAGGATTGTTTTGCTCTGTGACTACTTGGCTATGTGACCTTGACTGTGTGACCTTGACTTAAACACTCATACTTGCCAGACCTCAAATTCCTCTGCCATGAAATAGGGTTATTGGTCCGGATCAGTTATTGAGAAACCTTTTAAAAGCATAGTATGTACTCTTCCAAATGAGATATTGCAAGGACCCTCAACATACGACTGTTATGAAATTGGTACTGCTCAGTCGACGCTGGAGAGGGGAGGCCGGAGCCTGGCTGGGGCGGCCCCTGAGGTGCTTTCACAGAGTGAAAGCTAGTCTGGGTTCCAAGGACAATAACCCTGAGAGAGCGCAAGGGAATTATCACCGATTTTCAGATGTCGTGCAGTGTCCCTTGTGTCATTCTGTTCATTAAGGCAGTCACAGAGTTCTGCTCAGATGCAAGTAGAGGGAAATAATCTTTAGTTCTTGATGGAGAAGGACACTGTCCTAGAAGCACATAAATAAAATACTGGTCTAGAAATTCCGTTTTGGCCATTTTTTGAAAAACACAAGCTACCAGAGACCTGGAAGGAGACCTAAGAAATCAGTGGGGCCAGTTCCCTCATCTTACAGAGGAGGACACTGAGGCTGAGAAGAATGTTTCATGGCCACGGTCATGACCTGCGGTCGGCAGTCAGGGTGGGGCTGGAATTGGCTTCTGACTCTAGGCCAAGGTCTTTCCTGCCATTCCATTTCATCCCCCTTTTCTAATCTATGTAGCCAATTCACTAAAGTCATGAGTGTTCCTCGCTCAGAGTCTCCTTAGGCCAGCAGACAGGATAATGTAGGTGAAACTACTGGCATAGTGCCTGGCGTGGAGTGGGCACGCGGGGTGCTCCCCAGCCCTTCCTCCCACCCTTGTGTTTTAGCAGAAGGCCTAGCTGACATGGTATGTATAGACTGTGCCAACACAGTGAAATAGAGTCACTTCCCAGCATTTAGAAATTAAACAGTAAGTCCACTTGAACACTCTTTATTTGTCCTTTTTTTCAGGTGCTCAGAATTTTGATGTCATACGACTGTCAACTTACAGAACAGCTTGCAAATTACGATTTGTACAAAAACGATGCAACCGTAAGTCATTTCTGTGATAGCTGGACAGAGCTCTTGATAATATAAAATACAAGATTTTAGTATCTTCTAGTCATATTGTAAAATTATTTGAATTATTCCGTCTTAAGTATTTATCAGAATATAAGCTTTGTAATTGAAAGAACTTGGCATTTTTACTCTGTGGTTCCTTCAAAATATTTAACCAACTCAATAATGTAACTAGTTTTGAGACTGGCGTAATATTAATGTTCTTTAAACGGGAGAGTTGATTTCTCCTTGTCACTTTTTTTTAATGAATGTTTTATACAGAATAAATACAATTTTTCAGACTTTGGAGGGAAAGGAAAACATGAACATTTTGATAAAGGTGTCATAAGAATTTATCGATTAAATTTAATATAAAATGAATTGCTACAGTGGCTACTAATAAAATAAATAAGATATACACACAAGCATATAAAATCTTCTTTTAATTTCCACGAAGATGAACTAACTTATGACGGAATTATTGTACTTTTCTCCCATGCGTGTGTGTACTAATGAAAAACCCTTTTGTACAGTGGAAAGAACATTAGCCTTACAATGGAAAAAACTTCAGTTTTAGTTCTGGTTTTGCCATTTATTACAAACATGTGATCTTGGGCAAGTCACTTTGCATCTAGATACTTCTACCCTACTTTAAGTCTTACTCAAAAACCCTAGCTTAAAATTCTCTCTAAAGAGTTTACCATGCCATCCTAGATGGAAGTCACGTTTCTTCTCTGGTTTCCCAAAGCATTGTTTTCAAATTATGGGTTGTGACCCATTAATGGTTCATGAAATCATTTTGGTGGGCTATAGCTAGAATTTAAAGCATGTAATAGAAAAGAAAAAGAAAAATCAGAATGCTGCTTCTGTGGTAGAGTTAAAAAGTATTTTGTGAAATTTTTTTATATATTTATGTATCTAGAGTGTGTGTGTGTGTGTGTGTGTGTTTGATGATATAAATATAATTCTGTGGGTTGTGGTCAAAAAGTTTGAAAACCACTATTCTAGAGTAACTATGATTTTTATAATTCTTCCTGTAATTATTCTTGAGAAACAGGTCTATGTGTGGAGTGATGAGAGTCAGAACCAGGCTAGTGGCATTAGTAATGTTAAACCAAAGATTCATTGTTCTAGAACTTTTACTTTGTCACACGTGATTCTCCAGTTCACCTGGAAGAATTTTTTTTTGTGGGCGTGCAGTAAAAGTAGGAGTCAAATTTCACTTTTTTCTATATGTATGTTCAGGTGTTTCTATCCTGTTTATTGAAAAGACCATCCTTTTTCTCCACTGCTAAAATTTTTTTTCCTCATATTCTTTAGAGAAATATCTAAGAATGTTCATGGCAGTGTCCGTATATGAGAAGATTTGCTTTTGGGCTCTTGTGTTCCATTGTTATGTTTGTCTGTCTTTGTCCCAGTAACCGCTATTATAGCTTTATAATAAGTCTAAGAGCAGGTGGAGCAGGTCTTCTTGCTTTGTTCTGTTTTTCTTTCTCAGATTGTCTGGGACATCCTTGGCCTTTCATGTTTATTTTCATATATATTTTAGACTCCGCTTGTCAATTCTTACTAAAAACAAACAAAATAAAACAACTCTGCTGAGATATTTTCCTTTTTCATTTCTTTTTTTAAGCATAGTTTACGTATAGTAAAATTCATCCTTTTAAACTATAGTCCTCTGGGATTTTGTAGGGATTGCAGTGAATCTGCAGATGAAGTTGAGAATTGACGTATTTCCAATTTGAGATTTCCTACTGTAAACATGGTATATCCCTCCATTTATTTATGTCTTGTCATTAATTTCTGCCAGTTATATTTGTAGAATTTTTTTGGTAGAAATGTTGCACATTCTTCATTGGATTTATTCCTAAGTCTTTGATGATTTATGATTTTATTATAAATAGTATTTTTAAATTTCATTGTCTGTTACTGATACATAGGAGTCCAGTTACTTTTATATCTTGGCCTGTATGTAGCAATCGTTCCAGATTCAAATTTTAGTAATTTGTCTGTAGAATCTTGATAATTTTCTGTCTAATTTTGTCATTTTTGAATAATGACAGTTATATTTCTTCATTTCTAATACTTTTACTGATAATTACTGCATATTGATTTTGCTTAGGACTTGAAGGTCACTAGAAATGATGATCGTGAGAATTTCTTGTCCCATTTCCAATATCAGAGGAAAAGCTTTCAACATTTTACTATTAAGTAATATGTTTGCTGTGGGTTTTTTTTTTTGTAGATACCCTTAATCAGGTTAAGGAAGTTCCCAAGTGTGTTTCTTCATTTCTGAAGATAAGGCTTATTTAAAAACTTGTCTTTTTGATAATGATTTCTAACTTAATTTCATTTTAGTCAGAGAGCATGGTTTATATGATTTTAATCCTTTGAAATTTGTTGAGATTAGCTTGATGTCTAAGGATAAGGTCAATTTTTATATGCATTGCATTGTGTTCTTAAAAATAAAACATATTTTCTAATCATTGGGGGGGGGAGCAGTACTTCATATAGTGACCATTATGTCTATTTTGTTGTAAAATTTAATTGTGTCTGTACTTACTTTTTGTATGTTTGCTCTATCATTTATTAAGAGAGGTATGTTAATACCTTCCCAACGCTTGTGAATTTGTCTCTTTGGTGTTCCATTAAATTTTGCATTATATATTTTTCAGCCTATTGTAGGGGAGGCAAAACTTTACCTCTGCCCTCTTACGATCTCTGGTTGGGCCTGAGAATTAAATTGACGTAAGACAGATTAACAGGAGAAAAGTATGCACATTTTTACATGTACATGGAAGACCCCATAGGAAATTGAAGACCCAAAGAAGTGACTAAGTCTAAGTGCTTATAAATTGGGTTGATCAAAGAATAGCAATTGTGGAAAAGTTATATATATATAACTTTAAAAACATATATATATGTATAGAGAGAGAGACAGAGACAGACTAAAGTCCATACAGATTAATCTTGGCCTCAGTTCACTATTTCTTTCCCCCTATGATAGGGAAGGGATCTTTCACATGGCAGTTTTATCCTCTGCTTTCAGGAAGAAAAGGGGAGGTCAGAGTGCCCTTGTTGGCACCTGATATTTTTCAGGTGTCTTTAGCACAAGAGAATCCTTATGGCAAAATGGCATATTTTGAGGTGGAACATTCTGCCACTCTTCACTATTCTATTAAATGTAAACAGATATAAAGTTCTTATGTCTTTCTGATGACTTAAAACTTTTAAGTTGTTGACAGTTTATTTTCTTCGTGTTTTAGTGCATCTCGTTGATATCTGGAACATGATCGAAGCCTTCAGAGACAATGGCCTTAATACACTGGACCATAGCACGGAGGTCAGTGTGTCCCGCCTCGAAACTGTCATCTCCTCCATATACTACCAGCTGAACAAGCGCCTTCCTTCTACTCACCAAATCAGTGTGGAACAGTCCATCAGCCTCCTCCTTAACTTTATGATTGCTGCATACGACAGGCTAGTACCTTACATGCTTACTTCTGTTTAAGAATGTTTGTCCCTTAATCATTCTTCTTCCTTGCTTCCTTGCGAAGGGTCGTCAACTTAAAATCATAGTTAGAAGGGAAATTATTCAGTGTAAGTCCCTTCTAAAGACGGGTGGGTGTACTGTCCTGGGGCATGTCTCATATTAAACTCTGTGATATTATGAAGACTCACACACTTGAGACATAGTGTTTGGTAAAAAATATAGATGCTTTAATATAGCTGTTCTCTAGCTAGTGAAATAGAACCAAGTTGTGAATTTGATTATGCAGGTTTCTATTTGACTTTTAAAGATAACTTATCTTTATTATGTAACAGCAAGTGTCCCTGGACTATAATGTTCTGTTTTTGCTTTGTGTTTGGTATCCTATTTTAATTTTATTCAGTGCAGAAAGAACATTGTCTTAAAAACTTTACAACAGTAGAAGAAAACTATTTAAATGTACTCTAAATTAAAACAGAAATGAGTTGCTCTCTTTGTATTTATGGAGATTTAAGTTGTTATGATAAAAAACAAAAAAGATACCATAAGTGATGGAAGCACAGAGGGAAATGGCTGTATATTAGGAACCAAGAGTTCAGATTTCTGATTCCTGCATACTGTCAGCCATCTGATTGGAAGAGGTTAATTCTCTCTGCCTCATTTTTCTCTCTATATACTTACTTTGAGTTCATACATTTGTAGAATGCTGTTTGTAATTTATGATACTGAGGATTCTGCGAATTAATGGTAAAACCATACAAGTTTCAAAGCCAAGTTACAACATAGGCACCCACTAAATTCACAACATTTTTATAAGATGCGGTCAAGTTAGATATTCTGTTCATTGAATAGGAAAACTTTTAAAGAAATTTGAATTTTTAAAATAAGAGTTTACATGAGACATAAGTCCCAGAATTCTGATGCTATTTTTTAGCAATTTTGATTAGTGAATCCATATGGTTAATTATATTTTTTAATTAAAAAAAAAATTATTTTTCCATTAGTGTTGACATGCAGTGTTATTTTATATTAGTTTCAGCTGTACAACATAGTGGTTAGACATTTATATAATTTAGGAAGTGATCCCGCCAATTAGTCTAGTACCCATCTGATGCCACGCATAGGTGTTAAAGTATTATTGACTATAGTCCCTATGCTGTACTTGATAACCCTGTGACTATTTTATAACTACCATTTGTATTTCTTAATCCTTTCACCTTTTTCACACAGCTCCCGAGCCCCCTCCCATCTGGCAACCATCTGTTTGTTCTCTGTGTCTATGAGTCTGTTTTCATTTTGTTTGTTCGTTTATTTGTTCCTTAGATTCTACTTATAAATGAAATCATATGCTGTTTGTTTTTCTCTGTCTGCTTTATTTCACTTAGTATAATACATAAGGTTAATTTTAATACTGTCTAAGGAACGACTCTTTTGATCCAAAAAATCTCAGTAAAAACTGTTATTCAGTGGTGAGCATCAGACAGCATCTTATCATGACACTGACTCACTGTAAATCATTTTGGGGTTGCACAACAGAAATTAACTTAATATTTTTAAGTCAGAAATAAAAATCATCCACTGAAATGATAAACTTTGATTTTTAAATTGTGTTGTAGCAGTTTAATTTGGATATATTTAAAAGTTTCCATAGTTCCTTCTTAATACCGATTCTAGCAACAAAACAATATTTAAAAAAAAAAAAAACTACAAAGCAAAACCTACTAGTTTATTTTAAATAAAAGCAAATATATTTCTTAAATTCTGAATGTGCCCAGCTAGCATATTATGGAATAATGTTGCTGAAAAAAAAGATAGTATTAGGTTACAGCCTTCCTTGTTAGTGATTTTTAAACAAAACTAGAATTTTCCTGAGAGGCACAAACATTTCATGTACAGTATTTACTAATATTCTTGCTTGTTCTTAGATGGATTTAAGATGACAAGAAAGTCAGCCAAATTAAAATAGGCAAGAACTAGTGCTGAATGGGAAGTTTTGTACACCCTCGGTAGTAGCACATTTTTATAAGGATCTAGCTCTTACAAAGATCTGATTGTAGCTCTTCTAGGAAATTTCCAGGGGATGGTGGAGGACGAGCTAGGCATTGTGAATGTCTTAAAAAGGTGAAATTGTAGGGAATTTTCCTAGTGCGAAATCGATAAAAAAACAGTTGCTCTGGTAGAAGAGGCAAGTGGAGCCCGCCCGCCTGCACTGCAGCCCCTGCCCTGTTGAATGCCATTGTGGGCATCAGGATGTGATACGTGATGTGACACCACCAAGACCAGCTCACTGAGCCCCAGTCCTGGTGCTTGGTGGCAGAGTTATTCAGGGAGCAGAAATGAGTGAACTTGAAGTTTGCTTATTACTCTGCCCATCACTTACTCTTTATTTTGTCACGTTTCTCCTAAGAGAAGTCATGCATTTGTGCTAATCTTCTTGATTTCAGGATATACAGGCCTATAAAAAGTTTGACCATTATCTATCTATCTATCTATCTATCTATCTATCTATCTATCATCATTTTATTTTATTTTTTAGGTGAGTCAAACCTTGATTGACCTCACAGATTGCAAGGACCTTGTCAGCTTACAATCCCTTATTTTTTTATTTTTTAAAATTTTTATGCCTACAGCACCTGGTCTTCTTAGGTGGTCTCTCATCCAAGTACTAACCAGGCCCGACCCAACTTAGCTTCTGAGATCAGATGGGGTCGGGCTTGTTTAGGGTAGCATGGCCGTAGACTTGATCATTATCTAATATTTAGGAAAAAAAATTTTTTTTTTTTGCTTATTATTGGCCTTAGTTTCCTTTTTATAAGATTATTTTTTTTTTTAAAGAAAGGGCAAGAAGAATACTTTTTCTGAGTGGTTTGCTTTTCCCTTGCCTTTGTTTTTCTCTGAAAGTAAAGAGAGAGGTGGTAATAGGGAGACTTCTCCAGTCCATTCAGCACTCACCTCTGAATTAACCTGAAGAAGACACTATTTTCATCATGGAATTTCCCACCTCAGAAACCTTGTGATTTTTGAATGAAGTTCATACTCCTCAGTTAGGACCTAATGGTATCTGTCCTGAATTCCCTGCTCACAACAAGCTCTAATCTGCTTGTGGCACTTCTTAATTTTTCCAGTGTGACATGCTCATTTTTCCCTTCATCATTTTGGTTGGTCTCCTGTCTGTCTGTCTGTCCTCCCCTCTCCTCTCCCCCCTCCACTTAAGTTTTTACCTCTGCAGCCTTCCTTATTATCACCAACCCCATTTTCATCCCTTTGATGACTTATAGTACTTGTCTGTATCATTATTTTGACTTTGAATTATATAATGCACAATAAGATTAAAAGTCCTTGAGAGCAGAGATTCTACCTGATATTTCTTTCATTCCTCAATAAATACAGCTCTGGATTCTTAATAGATATTTGTAAGATTGAAATGAAAATTATGCAATCTGATTATGGTAAAATTGAATAATATTCTGTGTTGATTTTACTTGATTAAACTACTTGACATTTGCCAAATGGATTCTTGATTTGCAGTTGATTATTGAATAATCCATTCACTGTGAAGTTTTATAAATTAAGATTACTGTAATTGGAAAAATATGAGTTTTTGAAGATCAAAGAGAAATGCTCTTATTAGTCTTAACTATATGTGATAATTGGACTGGTAATAGTGTTTCTAAAGTAGAAGTCTATTTTCATGCAAAAAGTGCTGATTTATGGTTAGCAGCATCCACAATTGTTCGCTAAAGATGTAAAACAGCTTGCTTTCTTAAGTAAAAAATGCTCCCTGTAGTCTTGTTTTCAAAAGTATTAATTTGAATAGCAGGCTCTGATTAGATAGTGCAGAGCTATAAACATCATTCAGATTAGGTGTGTTTAAATATCAAAATATAGGCAGAGTTTGAGACTTTACCTAACTGAAATGAGCAGTTCCCATCCAGAGGTCACGGGTGAGCATTTCAGTCTTCTCAAGGTACCTGCGTGTTCAAACATATGTTTATTCAGGGTGACTCACTGTCTGCTTAGCTTGGCCTAGAGCTAATCATGGTATTTCCTCAGTGTTGGATAATAAGAACTCTTTTTAGAAGTCATGTGCACAGTTTATTGTCAGACTGTAAAATGATACGTCTATGGAAGTGAATTATAGATTTGAGAAAGAATCATCATGCTCTTCACTGAAGGAGGATGCTCCTCAGAGAGATTCTGCTTGGGTGGGGTTAAAATAACAGGTTTCCTCTCTCCTGTCACCCTCACAAATCTTACCTGTTTCTCCTTTCATTTTAGTATCTTATGTGAGAGGTTTATCTTCACTGTTCATTGTGTCACTTCTTAAATGTTGACCTACTAGTCAACCCTGCAGCTGTCACAGGCCAGATTTTAAGTGAGTCACATTTTTTTGTGGTGAAACGAGGTTAAATATCTTTCCCAAATCTTGTTTGAAGAGAATCGATGCTGGTTTGAACCTGGACTTTTCCTTGGAATTACTGAAAACGTGAATTTGGGTAAGGTTAGGGGTGCCATGGTCTGAGACAGCTAACTATTCAATTTTGAAAATAACTTGGCCAGCGCATATGGAGTAAAGGCAGATGTGTCTGGTGGGAAGGATCAAGAATGAGTTTTTCTAAGAAAAAAGAATCAGTTGGATAAAGGACATAACCATAGGGTATTAGGCTGTAGGCTAAGTGACAGCATTTTCTCTCTGTCGCCTTTCATTGTAGAAGAAGAATGCAGGAGCTCTAATGAAACATTAGAAAAGTAAAGGTGACATTTCTCTTTTGCTTTCTTTGGGGGAAGTGATAGGAAGTTGTCGTTAGGCTTAAACTAGACCAAAGAATTTCAATGCCCAGAAAAGCATTCAGAGCAAAGGAGTAAATGCTGAGAGCAAATAGTTGAGAGGAGGGAGCTAATTCTTTTTCTTTTTGAAGCAAAAATATAAATAACACGATTGGAGGAAGTAAGAATTGTGAGACTATCCCTTCCGTTATTTATCAGATGA